GCTTCGTTGGACGCTTCCTAGTATTCGGTCTGCTTCCAACCCGATTGTCACGATTCGAATTAGATCTGTGGTATTGCGTTTAAAAATTATTTATTTATCCTGTACAGATAATATTATTAAAAAAAGATAAAAATTATTAAATAAGGAATAAAGAGGGAGTGATAAAATTACAGTACCCATAAAATAATTTTACCGTATTCCTCTTATCCTGGAAAGATAACTGACCGGGGCCTTCAGAAAAGCAATGATACCGTTCACTTGTCATCTTTTGCATTATTTATTTATACTACAATTTTAAAAAATAATTAAAAATAAAATAAATAAATAAACTGACGGCCATTCTTAGAAGAAACAATTGGGGTCCACAAGCCACGCGTTTTGTACGCCAGCCATGTGGCTCCTGGGCGGATGTCAAGTACGAGTTCAGCCGGCGCCTGTGAAAAGAACACGGGATTGCGCCGTCGGGAGACGGAACATCAAAGAAAGATTCTGGGGATCGAAATTGGATAATTATCAGATACTTTCAAATAAATTAAAAAATATCTTAGCGTGGTCCAGCTTATACAATATTTAATTTGGTTCATTAATCTTGTTTTCGTTTTAATTTACCAAAGTTGCCCCTTAGTTGGTCCAAGCAGTTTTTGTTTATTGAATATGAAAATGAATTAAAAAATATAATTTATTTTTTTTGACTTCCCTGAACAGATCTTTTCAGATTAATAAAAAAAATATGTTGTATAATTTTTCAAGTTGCTTTATTTGAGACAAAAACCAGGGGTATGAAGAATCAGAGTTCGCTTTAACATAAAATAAGTAAAACAATTGTTTTAAATTTCGAAATATTTTAAACCCTAAATTTTATAATTTTATACTATTTTATTATAATAATTTAAATAATTATAAAAAAAAAATAATAATTAATATTATCCATATTAATTAGTAAATCACTATCTAATACTCTTATATGGCTCTTAATTTTACCCTCTTATTTATCTGATTATTAAATTCTAACTTTCTCTTCTATCTATTTCATTAAATGTTTGAGATTTCTCTATAAAATCAAGTATTTTGATTTCAAATTTATCACTTTCACTAATTTGTCATCTTGATTAAAACTCCAAACCTTCAATATGTGACATCACTCTCTTCTCATAAGACAAAAAAATATTGATTTTTTTAAAAGAGTAAGAGCATTCTAATATTGAACTATTTTTAATTATTTTTATTATATTTTAATTTTTAAATTTATATTATTTATTTATAGATATATTAACTAAAAATATCAATCTAGTTATTCAAAACTTGAAAGGAGAAAAAAAAGAATCAGAAATTTGATGAAATCTTAAAGAGAAACTCTTAATACAGAGATAAAATGTCTCAATCTTAAGTTTGACTTTATACGCTAAAATTATTAAATTGTCCCCGTCAAAGATATTAGTAAAAATTTTAATATTTATCTTTTCAATCTTTACAGGTACCTTTGTATATTTTAACGTGTAAAATAAATTTTATTTAAGCACTGTAACTGTTCTTCTTTATAAACATATTCTTACGGATTTAAACAAAATTTTCTTCTGTGACGTGCTAAATATTTATTTAAATACTTTATTTAGCCTCTTAAAATATTTCAAAAGATTTTTTTTAAGAAAAAGAATTTCTATCATGGAGAATGCCGACAACCATAATTTTCATAAGTAATACGGGAAAGCCTAACCTCAGTGGTCCGATGGATGATGTGGACTGCATTATTATGTTGACTTTTATTGCCGCAACCTGGACCATATCATGTCACTGTTAATATCACGACTTGCTAGTAGACTAAGCGATGTTCTTTAAAATCAATACTCAACTAACAAAACTCAGTTTATATAAATATATTTTTTAAAAAATTACAATATTTAAATTTACAATCAAACAAAACCTAAATATTAATGTCACTAAACTCATTTTATACAAATTTATTTTTTAAAAAATTTACTATATCGAAATTTAATTTTTTCAATAACCATTTAAATTTACAATCAAACCACACCTAAATATTAATATCATTTTTTAATAAAAAATAAAGAAAAAGATTTTCCTCAGAAGCTACGCAATCACACTGTTCTAAAATTTTGCTTCGTAAGAAAAAAATATAAATAAAAAGTAGTCATAGTTGTCCCGATTGCTAGATATTAGAATTAGTTTGTTGCCGTTATAAGCTTTGACAGGTGTAGTCATAAAAATTACTTTAGCCGTTCAAAGTTGATTTGATTAAAATGATATATTTTGGCATAATCTAATCCACCGGTAAATATTATTCATTTTAAGTCAAAACTCTCATAATTTTAAAACACGTTTACCAGGGTTAAGACATCCATACTTATAAATTTAGTATTTTTTTCATATTTTGTCGATGTAAGATTTACTTAAGGTATTATATACATCCATCCTTTAGGACTCAGCATTCTCGCTGAAATTTGGCCCACCATCATTCAAGATTGCACGTGGAGTAACTTTGATGCAATTTTTTTATAGCCTAATCCACTATTAAATATTATCCGCTTTGGACAAGACTCTCACTATTTTAAAATGTATCTATCGGAGTTAAAGCATCTTTATTTATAAGCCTAGTATCTTTATTATATTTTGTCGACGTAGAATTCATCTAAAATATTACAAAACACCCCATTTTGGGATTTAACATTCTTGCTAAGATTTGTCTTACCACCATTTAAGGTTACACGCAAGTGGATCTGATATCATTCTGTCACAACCCAACCCACTAGTACATATTATTTGTTTTGAGTCAAAACTCTCACGGTTTTAAAACGCGTCTATCGTGGTTAAGGCATCTATACTTATAAGTCCTATATCTTTCCCGTGTTTTATCAACGTGTGATTCACCTAAAGTGTTACATGTGTATATATATATATATATATATATATGCATGTAGGTATGTATGTTAATAAACTAAAAATGAGAAGGCATCTTTCTGAAAATATGCTGGCATTGACTATGACAGCTAAGAATGCATGCATTCATATACCTATATATATATATATATATATATATGCTTGCTGTTTTTGCTTAAATAAATTAGCAGAAAACAATTTATGTCTTTATATCAGATTTAGTTTGTTGCCATTATATGCTGTGGCAGTTGTAGTAACAAAAAAACAAATTAATTTAGCCATTCAAAGTTGACTTGATTAAAATGATATATATATATATATATATGCATGCATTTATGTATGTATCATGTATTTGCATGTATGCTAATAAACTAAAAATGAGAAGGAATCTTTCTGAAAATATGCTGGCATTTACTATGACAGCTAAGAATGGTGCTTGCTGTTTTTGCTTCAATAAATTAGCCGAAAACAATTTATGTTTTCATATTATTAATGACAACTATCTTTTTAGTTATTTTTCTTAAATAAAATTTAAATTAATGAATTTAAAAGCATTTTATCACGAGAGATGTTACCTATTATTGATTAAATATAACTCCGTTTTTACATTTAATTACATTTAAATAAATTAAAATAGCCGATTATATATATTAAATATGTAATACCAATCATATACAATCATATAATAATAACGTATAAGAGGTAATTTTCTTAAAAAAACTAATTTCCAAAACATTTTCCATAAGTATTTTGAGATTATTACGTTTTATCATTGAAGGAAAGGACAGGAAGGACATGGAAAGAGGAAAAACAAATTCCTTAAGGGAAAATTAGTTTACCACACGAAATTATATGGTTTTAATTAATATATTCTTAACTATTTTAATGATTAATGGAAGCATATTATATTATATAACATATATAATAATTAAATACACGATATATACACGTATGATTCATATATATCTGCATCAAACTCTTTGTTGAGTAAGAAATAAGAAAGTGTCGGATTACTTTGTTGACTTCACGAATGGATTGAAGCAATCAATGAGATTAACACTAATTTTGTAATTAATATAATTTTAATCCAATAAAAAATTACATTAAATATTAATTTAAGAATAGTATTCAGAACCTTAAATGTTATAAAATATAACCTTGTATAAAAAAAATATGAAAATAAAGGTAAATCACACGGCTTATTTTTTATTAATACAATATTTGAAAATCACAGAAGTATTGAGTAATGCATAAGTTGAATTAATAAATTGTTTTCAAGCAAATGAGGGCGCGTTAGATACAGATAATTATTTAATCAAATTTAAATAAATATATATTAAAAAATAAAATAATTTTATTCAATCTTAATTTAATTATTTCAACAATATTATTCTTCTTATTTACTATTTAAATTATTAAAATATCCCCGTTCATTATCCATACTAACTACCGTCGACAGCTATGGGCGATCGCAGATCACCACTGATGATTGTTATTGGCTGTGGCCAATGGCCATCAGACGCCAGTCTTTACCACCACTTGTCATTAATGGCCACGGGCGTCACCATCCGCAATCAATAATAAAAAAATTATTTTATTAATTTAAATAATTATCTAATTTTTTATCTGAAATGTATTGAATGGTATATATTAATTTAAAATATTCTTTAGTTATGATAATTTATTTATATGCGCTAATACGAAAAATTTGAATCGTTAATTAAAAATAAATAATTGAAATCAGCTAAAAAAAATGCAAATCAGAGATAGGACACACGAGCAAACAGGTCACATCAATTTCTTCATTGGCGCGATGGTTGTCCAACCCAGTCTATCATTGCCTCTCCAAGCGTGTTTGAAACAATAATGGTATTTTCAATGGCCTTCCAGAAAAGATGCCATTAATTATTAATTTTAATATTTTTGTTTTTATGTGAATAATTCTTAATATTAATATTTAAATATTAATAAAAACGTCCCCATAAAACCCTCCTCCATTCCTGCCTATTTAAACCCTCCCTCCCTCCACGCCTCTATCCGTTTCTCTCTCTCTCTCTGTGACTAGTCTTCGCCGGCTATAATTCTGCCTCTCTCGACTGACTCAGTCGCAATCCGCTAGAAAAATCCGACCCGCCCTCCTTCCAATTCTTCGCCTCACTCCGGTACCCGGGTGTCTTCGTCATCGTCTTCTTCCTCCTTAGATGGAAGATTTCAAAGCGCTCTTCCTGGAGGAGACGTTGTTCTACAATCGGGTCGTCCTCGGTTCTCTGGTGCCGCGCGGGTGGTGGGAACCGCTCCCCCACTTCCTCCAAACCTGGCTCCGGAACTACATTGGAGGCAACATCCTCTACTTCGTCTCCGGATTTCTGTGGAGCTTGTACGTTTATCACTTGAAGCGCGACGTTTATCTCCCCAAAGGTACTTCCGTACTCATGCCCTTCCCTAACCGGCCAAATCATTATTTTTTATTTTTATTTTACTTTAGCGACGGTGGAGTTGCAATAAATTTTGTAAATTATTATTCTTATTATTACTAAAAATAGAAATTAATTAAGAAAAATAAGGTTTTATTTTTGTTGGTTAATCGTGTGTGGAGTAATTTGTTTAATCAGTTCCGTGTTGGACTGGTTGTTGCAAATTTTTGACTTTGGGTTTTTTTATTTTTTCATTTTTATATTTCATAAGTCATTGATCGTGTCAACTGATGCATGTTATTATTAACCTCTGACATCCATACAAAATGAGTTTTTTTTCGTAAATATGTAAATTACGAACGTCTATTTCTGTCATTTTACAATAATATCTTCGACGGGTGGTTGTGCGTGTTTATACTTTGAACTTCTTAATTTTTTATTTTGATTTTTCTTTGTTTTAATTTGGTCTACTGACAATGTACATTTTTTTTATTGATGAAATAAAATTGTTTAATTTATTTTATGTAATATAATAAATAATACAATTGATTAATTATTATGTGATTCCTTTCCAAATATAGTTTTAATTATTTTTGACTTTTTTGGTTATTTTGGAGTTGGATTACACATTTAAGAGATCGATTTAATTAATCAGATAAAATCAGAATTTTTAGTAACAATACAATTACCAGATTTTCTGTTTCGGTTTTTGCATCCGTGTTTTCTGTTTTCTGAAACTAGAAAGTAAAAGAAATTACCAAACATATCATTGATATTTCCAACTCATAAAGCCCTGTCTTGATGTTATTTGACGCGTCATCAAGTTAGTTGTCGGAGATGAGAACGCCAGGAAATGCCGACTTGATAGATTAATAATTAATTATTTCCTGGCAAGTGTTTTGGATTTTGTATTTTGCACTTCCCGTTCTGTGTTGTCGGAAGCAGAAAACAGCTTTTTGATGTTTCCTAAAATTACCCTGTTTTCTGAAAATTTGAATGTTCATCTGATGAAAACTCTTAATGCAGATGCGACGCCCCCAACAAGGGCCATGCTGTTACAAATATTTTGCCTTACCGTGTTGTCGGAAGCGGAAAACAGCTTTCTGATGTTTCCTAAACTTACCCTGTTTTCTGAAAATTAGAATGTTCCTCTGATGAAATCTCTTAATGCGGATGCAACGCCCACAACAAGGGCCATGCTCTTGCAAATATTTTGCATTCTGTGTTGTCGGAAGCAGAAAACAGCTTTTTGATATTTCCTAAAATTACCTTGTTTTCTGAAAATTTGAATGTTCATCTGATGAATACTCTTAATGCGGATGCAACGCCCCCAACAAGGGCCATGCTCTTGCAAATATTTTGCATTTTGTGTTGTCGGAAGCAGAAAACAGGTTTTTGATGTTTCCTAAAATTACCCTATTTTCTGAAAATTTGAATGTTTTACCTGATGAAAACTCCTAATGCAGATGCAAAGACCACAACATGGGCCATGCTCTTGCAAATATTTTGCATTCTGTGTCGTGGGAAGCATAAACAGCTTTTTGATGTTCCCTAAAATTACCCTGTTTTCTGAAACTTCGAATGTTTTATCTGATGACAACTCTTAATGCAGATGCAACGCCCAAAACAAGGGTCATGCTCTTGCAAATGTTTTGCTTTCTGTGCTGTCGGAAGCAGAAAACAGCTTTTTGATGTTTCCTAAAATTACCCTGTTTTCTGAAAATTAGAATTATCATCTGATGAAACTTCTTAATGCAGATGCAACGCCCACGGCAAGGGCTATGCTTTTGCAAATATATGTAGCGACGAAGGCGATGCCATGGTACAGTCTTCTTCCCACAGTTTCGGAGTACATGATAGAAAATGGGTGGACGAGGTGTTTCCCAAGAACAACCGACGTTAGTTTAGCCGCCTACCTTGTCTACGTGGTGATATATTTGGTTCTTGTGGAGTTGGGAATTTACTGGATGCACAGAGGATTGCATGACGTAAAACCACTCTACAAGTATCTCCATGCAACCCATCATATTTACAACAAGCAAAATACCCTTTCCCCGTTTGCCGGTAACTTCACTGTACCTTGATTTTCTCTATATCTTCTTCAGTGACTGCAAAATATTATAGTTTTAGAGAAGATTTGGGGAAATTATAGGCTTAAAATTTTGTGGGTAGATTCTTTAAGCTTCTATCTTCTGCTTGCTGGGATAAAGTTTGAAAATCTGCTTTCTTATTAGGCTGCGTTTGGCAGAGGATTATACTAAATGACTAATTCAAAGTCGCCTCCCTTCGAAAAGGCTAACAACTCATAATCTTTTTTAAATTAGACCTTTAAGATAACAACAAATGTCTGTTTGGGGCAGGGGTGTTCACAGGTTCGGTTCGGTTCAGTTTGCTTCGGTTTAGTTTTGGAGTTAAACCAAACCGAACCGAATATGTCGATTTTGATTTTCATTGAACATGATCGGTTTTTTTGTTCAAAAAACCGAACCAAATCAAACCGACTTAAGTCGTTTTGGTTTGGTTGACATGTTCGATTTTTCAAAATTTTTTTTTAATTTGTAAAAAATTTAATATAAATATAAATATATATAATATAATATATACATATAAAATATATATATAATAAATACAATATAAATAAATATATATAAATATAACATAAATATAAATATATATATAATATCTATATAATATATATATTAATAAATATAATTCATTCGATTCAGTTTGGTTCGGTTTTATTTTGAGATAAAACCAAAACCGAACCGAACTGATCAATTTGTGGGAAGTTATAACCGAATTAAATTGATTCTTTTCGATCTGGTCCAATTTGGTTCGGTTGTGAACACTCCTAGTTTGGGTTAGTAAACCATGTCAGGATTAGCCAAAGAACTCATTTCTGCTGATGTTCTCTTTCTTCTCCATTTTTAGGTGAAATAGGGAACCTAGAAGTATTATACAGCAAAAGTTGAAGACTATGAGTTTGTATGGAGTTGGCTCAGTGGGTTTTGGTAACTCAAATGGTTTATGAAATCAAGATTTGAAATCAAAGACATAGGAACTATGGTATTAGTATGTTTGAATGCGGTGGGATATTAGTCAGTTTATAATTGTTAATAGGGTTGAATTTAATCTAAATTTGATATAAATTTTTAAATTTAAATATAATTAAATATTTAATAAATTAGATTAAATTTTAAATATTCATAATTAAGCAATTCAATCTACTAAGAGTTTAAACATAAATGTTAATAATATTTGTTAATCAAATTAATGTTTTTATATATAATAATAATGATAATGATAAAAAATTTAAAATTTAAAATTGTAGGGATTAAATTAAGAAAATTTAAAAAATTTAAGAATAAATATAATTAATAAAATAAAATTAAGAAATTTAAGTGTAAAAAAATATTATTTTTTTATCAAATTAGATTTTTTTATTTAATTTTAGATTATTTATTAGATTTAAATATAATTTAACAGAATTGGATGTAATGAGATTTTAAATGTAATTTAAATATAAAAATAATTAATCTAATTCAAATTTAAATTTATTAAATTTGATCCTAATCTAACATCTTGCAGTTTTAAAGGCAGTGTAAGTTTGCCTAGGTCAAATGACATAATAGACTAAGATGGTGTTGCATCGATTTCTGTGCCAGGTTTGGCATTCCACCCCCTGGATGGAATCCTGCAGGCGCTACCGCACGTGCTAGCACTCTTCGTCGTGCCAGTTCAGTTCAGAATGCATATTTTCCTCGTATTTGTAGAGGGCATATGGACCGCCAACATCCACGACTGCATCAACGCAAAGCTGTGGCCTGTGATGGGTGCCGGCTACCACACGATTCACCACACCACCTACCGCCACAACTACGGCCACTTTACGATATGGATGGACTGGATGTTTGGAACTCTCCGTCATCCGACGGAGGAAGAGTCCAAAATGATGTGAAGCACATTGGAGTCTTTTGTACCCTGGTTTTTGGGCACATCTGTTTGTCTTGAAATTACAAGGACTTGAAGAAGGCACATGCTCTTTGGCAAGCCTAGAAGCGATAAAATCCTAACTTTCTAGTGTTTTCAATTTATTGGATTTAATGGTTGAATAAAACCGTAAATAGCTGTCCTGCCTGACACCATAAGCGACTTGATTTCACAAGTTTTCTTTTGGGCAAATGTTGTTTTGTGCATAGGAAATTTTGGTCGTGTCGGTGACCTGGAGATTTCAGTTGATATTGAGACTTACTTCTCTCCTATATTTGATGATAGGTACTGACTCGATAGATTTTTAACAACTGTGTAACTATTACATCAGTATTAGATATTAATCTAATATTGGAATTATATAGTAAAAGTAGATTGAGTTTTTAGTTTTTTCTTACTATTTTTTTATGGATATTCAAAATTGGAACTGCATATGTTAATGACAGAAAGTGCGTGACTCTAAATTTTAAATTTTACATTGTTTCTTTTGATTATTGCTCAAATATGTGTATTTTGTCTGGAACTGTTTGATTATTTTTGTTAGAAGTGCAGCTAAACTTTTGGCTGGGGACACTTAGGCTATGGATTAAGAACATTATAAAAGGTTAAAGTATTCAATTCCGCAAGATTCCCTGCTTTGCAAATGTTTGGAACGGGAGACAGCTTTAACCACACATTAGCAGAGGTCTTGTGGTTGAATCAAAGAATCAAGAAGGCAGAACCCACACACTCATGATAAAATGCTGAATGATTATTTAATTTCTCTATATGGTCTTCAAATGAGGAAGAGTTGGAAGATTGAAACTTACAAGCTTTGAGCCATCTCTGAACTGCTCCCTAGTGGATTCGCTCATTCCTGAATTCGTCACCAGGTTACGAGCAATGAAAATTGTCTTCTACAAAAACTACTGCTCATCCCTTAAAAATTTCTGCTGCAAAAGTCCAGATTGTGGGAAGTTTATCATTTGAAAATATTGCAGTTTTTAAGAGAATGGGCTCGGAAACACAATAATCCAACAATCAACACACAGGCAGTAACAGTTTTGCTTGCGATGTCTGCCAATAGATGCCCAGTTTATCGTTCTCAATCAGAAGTTTTACTGTACATATGATATTGGTATTACAACGTGGGAAAAAAGGAGCAGGGAAAAGAATAGGGAATCATTTGACTTCTGACCATACAACAGAGTTCAATTATCTGCCTCGTATGACAAACCAAATACACTAAGTCAGTTCACGCATGATAAATTAAACCTTATTAATTAAATAAATTACCTATCTCAGGTGGTATTAGTGCACAACCTAAGTCAGGTGCTCGTCTCACAAGTGATCACCAGACTAAGCCCTTTCTCCTTCTAAACCAGTCAACACGGTCAGTGCTCATCCGAGATTTTTCGGGCTTGTTCTTCTCTGTCTTCTTGGACTTGTCTAATCGACTATCTAAACTGTTTCTAGAAACTTCTGGAAGTTCAGGGCGTAATTCAAATGCTTCAGACTTCCCATTTTCAGATTGCTTGCTCTGATTGACGGAGTCTTTTGTTGCTTGCTTGGAACCAGTTGAGGCCGATTTTGATTTACCAAGTGCAAGTACAAATTTCTTCAGGTGTTTAATGAACTCAGGATAGAGCTCAAGATTGCAATGTCCACCCCCGCTCAGCCATAAGGGTTCATACTTTTCCTTGCACAGCTCCCAAAGCTGCTTTCCGTGTGAGTAATGAACTACTTCATCTGCTGTACCCTGCAAATCAGAAGAATACACAAAAGTTTCAGCCTTATAAATTCAACAGCTCCAAAATATGGTTGATTGTGGAAAGAAAAAAGCCTTTAATAAAAAAGCAAATAAAAAACCAGAATGCAAATGTCTACAAGTCAACTTCTTGGTACATTTATTTATTTTTTTCCACTTCTTTTTTTTTATTAATATAGAGGGCAGGTTGGTCGGAATGGGGAAGCCTAACCTAAAACCAACTAATAAAAGGTCACTACACTTATTTCTTACAAAAACCAGCAAACAAATAAAGAACTACTGAAACAGCGCTAAGAAAAATATTTCCAATATCTTCAAGTAAAGCAACATTGTAGGAAAAAAAGACGAGCGTCCATAAATTTTAAGCTTTATTACTCACATCAGATTTTTAATGCGGTCTTTTTCTTCAACAATCAGACGGGCCATTTATTCCCCATCCAAATGTCCCACCAATTAATGTCCAAAGCTAATATCAAAGTTTTCTAATATGTAAATTTAATGCTCATTACTAGCTTTGCAGAAAGTAGAGGCATTCTTTGAGAATAGGGGAGGCTCACAAAACAGAGAAGGCAATGGGCTTGGTCGAATATTAGCATCTTCGTCCGTTTGTGGTCAATGAATTTAACTTATGGTACAGTTTAAGGAGAAACAGGCCCTTCCAATAACTTCAATTAATATTACATGCTGCATATCTGAACATGACTGAGCTGAAAAGTTCTGCCATACCCAAACATTAATTCAAATATAAAACAAGTTACAGTAATCAAATAATAGCTTCCTGCACTCTTTAATATTTTTCATGAAGTCTTGCAAATAATGGAGGGTGAGTAAGAAATAGAGGTGTGAAGAAAAGATTTAGAAAAAGAGAGTACACAGTGCTTACATGAATTACAAGAACCGGACAGTTCACCATACCAATCTTGTCTATATTCTGAATTAAACACAGAAAAGTAAGTAAATATTTATCCACAAAATACAATAAATATGTAAAACAGAGTATCAGAATGATATTACCTTATAAATGTCAAACCAATAAGTCCTTTTGACAGGGTATAATACTCTCAGACCAGAAAGGATTGGACTATGTAGAACCACACCTCTCAAGTTTGGTACACGAGAAGCAAGGTCAATGGTTGGACCACTCCCAACAGATTGACCATATAATATTAATTGTTCATCTTTAACACCATATTTCTCCTTGAGGCATTTATACGCTGCATCAATGTCTGCATATGTATTGCATTCAGTGGGCTGTTTAAAAAAAAAAAGGAACAAAATTAAATAACCAATAAGAGACGGGGAAAACATACTATTTATAGGTGATCAAAAATGTCCACACAAAAGATTCAAAGAAGACCATTTTGATTCTACATTTGATCAGGCATTCTAGATCATTATAATATGCTAAAGCATCTTAGCTATAACATAGCAACAAAAACTACAACTAAAAGTGCAGAATAGGAAGACAATTAAAGTAACTAAACTTCCGAAATTCAAACTTTTACATTATGGCAAAAACAGATGCAATGCTACAACTCTGTGTGCACTATAGTTCAGTGGTCCTCACAACCAGCATCAGAAACAGATACAAGTAATTAAGGTTGAGTATCAGTGTGTTTTCGAGATAATACTGTTGAGCCTAAGGACATAATTTTCAAAACCAAATCACATTCTCTATCCAAGAAATTAAGGCACTAAACCAAAGAAATGAGGAAATCATTATATCTATTAAAAAGGCACGAAACTAATGTGTTTAATGGTTGCAATATGAGACTATAGATGTGAGTCTGGTGTGTTATTGTGGTTGCAATACGAGAGAGAAAGACTAGCAATCATAGGTTTATTTTAACTTGTTGAACTGTCAGAGAAAACTAAACTACAGATTTTCTGAAGTTTGGCAGTGCACCTTTCCAGTTGATTGTCCATAGCCAGAGTAATCATACCTGCAAACATGAAAAAGGTAAAACATAGGCAAGTTGGATAGAGTGACTAACTGTCAACATACTAATTGTAAAGTAAAAAGAGCCAAACCCCCAAAGAAATTAAAAGGAGAACAATGTTAGATGAGCAGGACTGAATGGTGAAATGTCAAGAAACAATTAAAAGGAGAACAATGTTAGATAAGCAGGACTGAGTGGTGAAATGTCAAGAAACTAAATATGAAGTAAAAGCCACTGAAAGAGTAAAAAAAATTTAAAATGCTAAATAACTTTAAAATAAAAACTACAATTCATGTTTATGAGTATGAAGTATTAATAAACAGAAAACAAAAGGTAAGATAATAGTGATGTTCATGATATTAAAAGACATACATCTGTGTTACTATATCATGCTACACATGCTAAAGCACAAATGAATACCTTGAAAGCAGAAAAGGCCAAAATAGTTATTGAACATGCAAAAAAGCCCCAAAATTTACCATAGTATCCATTTGTGTGCCTCACTGATGTTCATTTAGGTGCTCATCGAGATCAACGAAGCCCCAAGGTCCAAAGCCTCATAGATTTAGAGATGTGCCATAATGAAGCCCACCTACTCATAACTACCATTAAACCCTTTGTTTGCAGTGTGTTGAGAAACAACCATGAGAAACCCTAAATTGTGTGAATGAGTCAGTGTAACTGCACTGTCCTCTGATTCTGTATTTATAATACTGAGAGATATACAAGAAAAGAGAATAGAATATATAAATAAGGCAAGAAAATAAATAAAAATCAATGACAATATTCCTAATGATATATCCTATCGTGTATTCCTATTCTACATATTTCTACACTCCCCTCAAGTTGGAGCATACAAGTCATATGCATCAAGCTTGTTACATAGATATGTAATCTGAGATCCCCTGAGTGACTTGGTGAATACATTAGCTAACTAATTATTGGAACTGACAAATCTAGTAGCAATGTATCCAAATTGAATCTTTTCTCTGATGAAGTGATAGTCAACTTTTATATGTTTGGTCCTTTCATGAAATATTAGATTAGAGGCAATGTGCAAAGCAGCTTGATTATCACAGATCAATTGCATTTGCTTAATATCTCCAAATTTCAATTCTTGAAACAATTGTTTAAGCCATATAAGTTCACATGTTGCCAATGCTATAGCATGATACTCAGCTTCTACACTTGACCTAACAACCAAATTCTGCTTCTTACTTTTCCAAGAAATCAGATTGCCTCCAAATATTATGCAATAGCCTGAAGTCGATCGTCTATCCGAGGGTGATCCGGCCCAATCTGCATCTGAGTAACCAATGACTTGAGAATAACCTTTGTCCTCATAGAGGAGTCCTTGACCAGGTGCCCCTTTGATATATTTAAGAATTCGAATTGCAGCATCCCAATGACTATCACATAGAGACTGTAGAAATTGACTGACTACACTAACAGTAAAAGAAATGTCTGGATGAGTTATGGTTAGGTAGTTCAATTTTCCAACAAGTCTCCGATACCGTCCAGGATCTGACAAAGGCTCTCCCTGTTCTAGTAGAAGTTTGATGTTAGAATCCATATGAGTGTCTACAGGTCGACAATCTATCAATCTAGTCTCCTCTAAGATATCAAGAGCATACTTTCCCTGAAAAATAACAACACCAGTTGATGACTGAGTCACCTCAATACCAAGAAAATACTTCAATCGACCTAAATCCTTAGCCTGAAAGTGACACAAGAGATGTTGTTTTAATTGATTGATACCTTCTTCATCATCTCCTGTAATAACGATGTCATCTACATACACCACTGAGATAAATGTTTTTATTGGATGAAAAACGACGATAAAACACAAAATGATCTGCTTCACCGCGAATCATACCAAACTGTTGAACTACTGAGCTGAATCGCCCAAACCATTCTTGTGAAGACTGTTTTAAACCATAAATAGATCGGTGTAGACAACATACTAAGCCAAACTCCCCCTGAGCAACAAAACCAAGAGGTTGCTCCATATAGACTTCCTTGGCAAGCTCGCCATGTAAGAATGCATTCTTGATATCAAGTTGGAAAAGAGGCCAATGTCACATGGCAGCCATAGATAGGAGAAGACGAACAGAGGCAATCTTAGCGATAGGAGAGAAAGTGCCGCCATAATCCAATCCATAAATCTGTGTGTAACCCTTGGCTACGAGTCGGGCTTTCAAGCGATCAATCTGCCCATTAGGTCCAACTTTCACAGTGTAAACCCATCGACATCCAACGGTAGACTTGCCAGGAGGAAGAGGAACAAGTTCCCAAGTGCCACTGGAATGTAAGGTGGCCATTTCATCTGACATAGCCTGTTGCCAACCAGGATGGGATAAAGTCTCCCCTGTACTTTTAGGAATGGGAACAGAGGACAAGGAGGTAACAAAAGCAAAATATGGAGAAGACAAGCGATGGTAACTCAAAAAGGTATAAATAGGATAAGGACTTTGAGTAGAGCAATTACCTTTGCGAAGAGCAATAGGAGGACTATCAGGAGGAAGAACCGAGGTTGGTAAAGGCGCAGGATCAGGGTAATAATCTGCGGAGAGGCACCAACAGAAGAGTCAGGACGCGGTCGACGTGAATAAATTTGAAGAGGACGAGTAGGAGTAGCTTTAGCAAGAGGTCCAAGTAAAGGAACTAGAAGAACATTAGACACAGATGAGCTTTCAAGTGAAAAGGGGAAAAATGAAGACTCCTCGAAAAAGGTAACATTTGCAGAAATGATATAGAGATTACTATCAGGATGATAACAACGATAGCCTTTTTGAAGACAAGAGTAGCCAAGGAATAAGCATTTGAGAGATTTTGGGCGAAGTTTGTCTTGTCCTGGGATGAGATTATGAACAAAACAAACACAACTAAAAATACGAGGAGGAAGAGGATATAGTGGAGTAGATAGAAACAGCAAAGAGACTGGAGTTTGATTTTGTAGCACAGAGGAAGGCATACGATTGATTAGGTAACAGGCAGTAAGAACATCGTCACCCCAAAAACGCAAAGAAACATGATGATGAAGTAAAGTGCGTGCTGTTTCAATTAGATATCGATTTTTACATTCAACAACACCATTTTGCTAAGGTGTGTGGGCATATGAAGATTGGTGAAGAATACCCTGTAAAGACATAAATGAAGTGAAAGAAGAAGAAAAGTATTCACGGGCATTATCATTGCGTAGAGTACAAATAGAAGTATGAAATTGATTATGAATCTCAGCACAAAACGTTTGAAAAATCGAAATAATCTTAGCATGACTTTTTATTAAAAACAACCAAGTACATCGAGAAAAATCATCAATAAATGTCACAAAATACTGATAACCTAAAGCTGTAGCAACACGACTAGGACCCTAAATATCTGTATGGACTAACTCAAAAGGGGACGCAGCTCGATTATTGACTCGCTTGGGAAACGAATGACGGACATGTTTACCAAGCTGACACGACTCACACTCTAGCAACAGCAAGGATGACAAACTAGGAACTATCTTTTGAAGCTTGGAGAGACTAGGATGACCCAATCGATTATGAAGAAGAAAGGGTGGAGCAGCGACTGTAAGGGCGGCATGAGAAGGCAATGTAAGATGATAGAGTCTCTGAGACTCACGCCTTTCGCCAATCGTCTGTCCCATATCCCGGTCCTGTACAAGAACAGAGGTATGATAAAAAACAATAGAACAATTAAGGGAACTGGTTAGTTTACTAATAGAAATAAGATTAAAAGGACAACCAGGAACATAAAGAACAGAGTCAAGGGTTAAAGAAGGTAGAAGACGAATATGACCTAGACCTTTAGCCATTGTTTTTGAACCATTAGCTAAAGTGACCATAGGGAGAGATTGTGGACTACGAAGATTGGAAAATAGAGTAATGTTACCAGAAATATGATCAGAAGCACCTGAGTCCAAGATCCAAGGACCAATAGAAGATTGAGTGAGGCAAGCAATTGAATTACCATCCTGGGTAGTAAAGGCAGATGACTGAGCAGCCTGATAGGCAAGATAGTTCTCATATGCAGCAGCAGGAATAGTAACAGTAGGCACCTTAGAAGAAGAAACAACAGTCTGAGCAACATTAGCAGTGCAAGGTGGTCGGCCATGGAGCTTGAAGCATTGATCACGAGTGTGACCCATCTTATGGCAATAAGTACACTGAGGGTGTTGACCTTTACCCCACCTTTGATTGTTAGAACCAACACTTTGAGCAGCCAAAACTGAAGAATCGCCAATAGAAGCAGCTGAATTAGGTATAGGTTGTGTGATCCGAAGTAGTCGACCAAAAACATCCTCCATGGTAGGAATGGAAGAACTAGCCAATATCTGTTGACGAATGGAATCAAAATTTGAAGATAATCCAGCCAAAGTGAGAAGCATGAAGAATTTATCATAATTAGATTCTTGGGTGGCAATATCGGAAGTGACTGAAAGAAGCTGGGTAAACTTTGATCGAACACCTTGAATATACCCCAAATAAGTGGACATGGGCTGATCTTGTTGTCGAAGATTTATTAGATCAAAGATGACTTCATAAAACCGTTGAATATCATTCGTGTATAACAACTTGGCTTTCTCCCAAACTTCATAACATGTTTGATAGGGATGAAAAAGATCAATAAGCTAACGATCTATAGTATTCCACAAGAGACTACATAACTGAGCATTAATGGCTTCTCAGTTGTCTTTATCAGTTTCTGAAATATCTAAATCCTTCTTTGTTAAGTGGTCAAAATAGCGTTGGCCTTTAAACCAAAGTTCAACTGCAGAGGCCCCACGCAAGTAATTTGCACCGTTAAGAGGCTCGGTAGTAATGACCGGAGGATTGGGGATGGCTGAAATAAATATAGCAAACTCGCCCGAAGGTAAAATAGACATGATTAAACTTGATAAATTGCAAGGTTTAAGAAGGAATAGATCTGACCAATGAAGGAGAAAATGCTAGATCTGACTATAAAGGGCAAGAGAAGCTGCAGATCTGGACTGAGGGTGTCGTTGGCTAGAAGATAGCACCGGCGAGGAGAATGACAGCCGAGAAGGACCACCAGTGAGGGAGACGATCGCTGGAAAAAGAGATCTGCACAGATCTATCCAGATCTGGTTCAAATAGGGTTAGATGTGGCTCAGATCTACTTGAAAACACACTGGGTGCACTCGGAATGGAGAGGCGACGCCGGCGGAGGAAGGAGAAACCGAAAACAGGACGGCGCGTGCAGTCATGCGCACCGGAAAGATACTTCACAACGGCGGCGCGTGGTAGCTCCGATGGCGACGCAGTTCGGACAGAGGGTAGATCGGTGGCTGACGAGTACAATGATAAGGTGCGTGATGAAGGAAGACAACTTAGAGGAGTACCTCCGAGATATCAGTCGCGTAGTTGCAACAAAAAACGTAGATGAAAAGAAAAGAAATTTTAGAAATTAGGGTTTCAAACGTTTGGCTCTGATACCATGTTGAGAAACAACCGTGAGAAACCCTAAATTGTGTGAATGAGTCAGTGTAACTGCACTGTCCTCTGATTCTGTATTTATAATATTGAGAGATGTACAAGAAAGGAAAATAGAATATACAAATAAGGAAAGAAAATAAATAAAAATCAATGACAATATTCCTAATGATATATATTATCGTGTATTCCTATTCTACATATTTCTACACAGTGCATCCCACCACTTCTACACCCATTTCTTCAGCAACTAAGTGCTATGTTTAATTTTGAACACATGCTTAACTTCCATCTTTCTTTTACTATATGTAACGGTTTAAATCTTTTGCCTTCATGCCATATGTCCTATTCACCCCTTTAAGGATGTTGAATAGTTGTTTGGAGAATTCAAAGGTCTATAGAGTGATAGCATAGAAAATGATTAAATCGCTACCATTAAGAGAGAGAGAGAGAGAGAGAGAGAGAGAGAGAGAATTGCCTTCGACATTCCCCCTCCAAAATAAATAGGAAGATTTATCTTATATTGCCTGCAAGGCATCCATGATATTTTAAAAGAATTAAAGGTTTAACACTGTCTTCACCATTAACATAAGATTAGCAACAGTTCCAAGACTTGATTTCCAAATAAGAGTAATCATCAATACGTGCTATTGCCATTTGTAATTTCTACATCCATTTTGATAACCATTCCATATTGTTTAAGGGTGAAAAGTTAGGTCTCTTGCTATTGCTATTCCCTACATGCACATAGATAACCGTTCCCCTACACTGAAGTGTGGAATTTTAAATTTCTCCATTTTGGTCATAAATTTCCTTACAATCTAATCCCATGTTATTCTCCGCAACCTTGAATTAGCATAATAACTTTGGACAATTAAAGTTGTCAGTGTGGGTACAAGAGGCCACAACTGGAATGACTCCATAGTGACTCGTGCTAATGGACAATTCCTTAATCTTGGATATTGTTCTTTGGGCAATTGACTTCTAAGTAAGTTATATCTTCCTAAATGAGGGTTCAACTATGACCTATAGGAACCATACTTGTCTCCACAGCTGGTTAGACATCTATACCATCTATATCTCTTCTCAAAACTACGACTTGAGCAAAGTTTATGTAACCTTTAGCTATAATGCCACATCAACATGGATATGTCTTCCTATACAAGTATATGAGGCATGCTAATCAGGCCAAGCCACATGTCTTTCTATACAACTTTTATTCTCTCTTGTATAGAAGGCACCTCCTACTATATAAAGAAGGCTACTTCTCGGGCTATACTAGGTTGCCCTCCTCTTGTTGAACTTCTTTGGTCCTTCCTCACGTGAGTCCCTTAGTTCGTGTCAAGCCATTACCACAGGTCAATGCACACACTTATCTTACTACAAAATGCATTCTTTGTTTAAAAGAATAAAAATTAAAAATTAAATTAAAATTTAAAAAAAAATTACAAGGAGACGGGGAGCTGTCAAGTGCCAAGATTCAAACGTTGGTCATGAATTTGATTTTAAAGCACTCTGACCAACTACTATACTCATTTGCTGAAATTTGCTCTTTCGATATATTTTGGATGTTCAAATTTAGTACTTCAACAAATTTAGTGGACCTTAAGTTTCTAGAAATTGAGGAAAATGAGAGGGCTAAACATACGAGGAAGGTGGAATTTGAAAGGAGCCCATCTCCTCTAATTGGTATATTTAGGTCAGCAGCCCCACAATCGATTCGCGTACTGCCAATATTTCTTCATCATCAGTAACCAAACACAAACGAAGTTCAAAATATCTACTGAATTTGCCTGTTAGGTTCTGCAAAATTTACTGATGCCAATATTTCACAAGAATCCAAAACATAAACTAACAAGCAATCAGCACAGCAAATGGAAGTTTGAATCTGACAAAAGGGAGTAAAAAGAATACCCCAAAAGATTTATGCGAAGACGAAGACTCAACTCCACAAAAAGCTCGAACATCTGACCCAGATCAGCAGCATTCCCATGGGAGTAAAGAAGCGTGGCCGTTGATTTGGGGTGCTTGATGTGGACAGCCACGATTTCGTTACCCCGCCGAGTCCGAATCTTCAAGACGTCGACGTCGACGTCGACGCCGCCCCTGCCCCTCCTTGGCACCTCCGGTATGTAAAGCCGGCCGCCGGAGGACTCGTCGGCGGCCACAGTGTAGGAGGGCGGCGTCGGAGGGAAGAAGGCGAACTTAGCGGCAATCGACGACGTGACTCCGCCCATCTTCGGCCCAGAAGATTCGATTCATTCAAATTATTCTCTCACTGGCTGCTACCTGCAGATCTCTCTTCGGGGTTCTGGAGAGAGGGAAGAATTGGCATAAATAAGGAATGGACTTGTCGGCGGCGATGGGCGGCGCGTGGGGATAGGAGGGACAAACTGGGCTTTGTGGAGAAGCAGATTGCGGTTTACTGGCGAAGGAATCTCCGGGCATCAAATGAGGACGACCTTAAAGGGGTTTGAAGCTGGGGTTGGGGTTGGGGTTTGGGGTTTGAGACAGTTGACGGCGTCTTTATAACAGAGAGACAGACGGCGAAGTGTGTGTGTGTGTGTGTGTGTGTGTGTGTGTGTGAGAGAGAGAGAGAGAGAGAGAGAGAGAGAGAGAGAGAGAGAGCACTGCGCACAGTAAAGCTTCGGTAGAGACGTTAGTGGGGGAACCTGTTACTGGGAAATCTTAAAGACAAACTGGATGGAGATGATTCATTTCCATGGGAAAAATCAAATCAAGCTGTGACAGAATTATAATAGCCGAAAAGTATCACAGAATAAAATTATTTTATTTATCAATAATTAATTGTATATAGCACGTTCTTTTGCTTGTTTAACTAATATTCTGTGCTTTGTAACATTAAAATTGAAAGAAACAGAACAACGTTAAAATACGAATCAAACTGAAAGGGTAGTTTGAACTTATTTTTCAATTTTCTTAGTTTCTTTCCGTCACTTTTTTTATTAAGAAAGACGCTTGTCTTTGAAAATTAGACCGAATTAGGCCAATTGAACAAGGAATTGATCCTAGTACGTGCTCCCATCCGATTGATCATGGATGGATCATTCTGCATCTCTTGCTTTGGACGTTAAGCGCGAGAATTTGACAATGCGTTAAATTTTATAATTATGGTTTGAGTTAGAATTTTTAAGTTAATTTAATTGTAAAAAATTATTTACTTGATGATATTTTTAATTATATATTTTGTAAAATTTATTTAAACAATGTTGACCTGATTCTTTAAATTAAGTTGGGTTACTACTGCCAAGTGAGCTAAATAGTTATGGCCTAGCAAGGTCATTAATAACTGGCAATCCTCGTCAATAACTTTTAGATTAAGCTAATAAGCCACATGTTGAAAAATAATTAAGTCAATCCTTAAATGGCTTGACTTACGATTGAGTTTGCCCATAAACCCAACTAAGCGGTTTTTTCAACCAACTAGATTTTTTTCAACTAGCATCGATTTAACCAACGACTTCCAATCAACCACTGCCGTCTATCGATTCTTTGTTCATAAAACTATAAAGTATTAAAACTTGATATTTGTTCATCTCAATTTGTTGACAACACCTAGAGACTATTGACAATTGTCAACGTCGCCGGCCAACTCCAATGGTGGTATCATGATTGGCTGATAATATTAGTCGTCGATGATAGCTCAACAATAACATCCATATAGTGGTAGTTGACCCTCGTTTTAAGTCATAATTATAAAACAGATTTAAAAATTGATTTCAAATTTTAGTATTTTAGAGTCAATAATTCCAATCATGTGACTTCAATTTTGAATTAAATAAATAAGTTTTTCAAAAATTTAATCACAAATCAAAATTATAACATCAGCCACTCCAATCCACACAATTGGTTGGACCCAACTAACTAGTTATTTTCTTTTTCTAAAACTGATTTAATTCTCAAGCATCAATATTAGTGCATTGTGGTTATATTTTACATATCTTATATATAAACGGAATATATAAATCATATTAAATAACATACAAATAATTAGTTATGAAATTTGAGGCGCTTCAAGGTCTTAAAAGCACGCGCCCTTAGCGCGTACCAAATAGGGAGGGCCCGCAGTTCGCAATTCCAGGCAAGTGGGTTAAAAGATGAAAAAGCCACCTTACCAGCGACGACCTGCTTTTGAAAGCCGTTACGACTTGATTTGATTGTGGTTTATTGTCTTATTATAGAAAAAGGTTTAATTATTTTTTATAAAAATTTATCACCCACAAAATACAACTTAAATTACACGTAATTTTTAATCTAAAAAAATAAAAAATTTCTTAAAATTCATTAGGGTTGTCTCAATTTAGAAAATTTCAGATGATCTCAAAGAGTTTTTAATATTTAAAAAAATTAAAATTCTAAAGAGTTGAATAACCAAAATTATTAAGTCATAAGGACTTTTGATTTGCCAAGTTTTTTAGATTAGTTGGAAGTATTTAGAAACTGATTAAACGCAAAAACCTGGTACAGAGACCCCCTAAAAGTAATTTCTAATCTGTAGAGGGGCCTAGTGGGAAAAGGGGAAAGTAAGGTGGGTAGGACCAAAGAATACTTTAGGGTTGAGACAAAGGAAAATGGAGAAATGGTCCAAACTTTGTCATTATGTTGTGGATAAGAAATGGCTCTCTTTGGCAATCCCTTTCACACAATCAAAGTTAAAAAAAAAAGGGACCCCTGCCTTGTTTTGTACTCATATTCCCGGAATTAGTTGAGCTCAATTCATATTTTTTAAAAAAATTTAGTAAAGAAAAATTTTAAATTTAAAAAATATAAAATAAAGTGTTCAAAATCGATCCAAACCGATTATATTGACTTAATCTAAATTGAATTAATCAAAACCAAAAGAAATGAGATTAATTCAATTTTTAAAATATTAAAATTGAGCGATTTGGTTCCGGTTAGTTGTTGATTTTTTCAAAAAATAATTGAATCATATCGAACTGATTGCATATATATAATATTGTATTTTATTTAATATAATATATATTAAATAATATATTATTTAATATAAAATAATTCATTTGAGAATAATATATACGTATATATGTAAATATAAAGTTAAAAACAAAAAATACAACCCTACTTAAATCCTTATTCTTAAGTATTACCTTAAGAGATTTTTAATTATATTTAGAATATTTGATATTAAAAGTCCTTGATATTGTAATAAACTAGGATAATTTTATGGTATTTTTAATGAATTTTTTCTTTGTTTAACTAATAGAATTTAATTAATTTTTACCTTAAAAAAATCTCTAATACTGATCACATCGAACTGAACTAAATTGATATAATCATGTTTAGTTTGATTCAATTTTGAAATATTCTGAAAATCAATCATGTTTAGAATTATTAAAAATCGAAATATTTAACTTGGTGTGGATAATATCCACAATCAAATTAAACTAAACGTGCGATTACCCTAATATAAAATATATATTACCCTTTTATTTTTCATTAAATTAATCAATAATGTAATAATAGTAATATTAATAACAATTCGATAATTAATTTGACAATATTTTATCTTCCACTAAATTAGATGATAATCTAACACTACTACTACTAATAATAAGAATAATAATTTGATAACAGGGTTTGAAATCCACAATGCTAATGTCTTCACCCTCACCGTGGATTATCATTGTTCGCAAGTTTTTGTTTGGGCATTTGTGCAGTGGTAGGTAGGGTTGATGGCAGCGAAACTAACTCCCTTCTTTGCAGATCTTGGTACTCCTAGTTGGATAGACTGCTTGAATCGTATTGTGATCCTGTAATTTTGTGGGTTGATTCATGTACCAGAATTAGTTGAGTTCAGTTCAATTTATATATTTTAAAAATTAATAAAAAAAATTTTTTAATTTAAAAAAGACTATAAAAATATATAATACTCTTTTATTTTTTCCTGTAATTAAATGATAATCTAATAACAATGATTTGATAAATAGAGAAAAGGCAGGAGTAGGTGTCTTTGCTGTTGATGCAAGCTGACCGGGGGAAGACCCTGAAAGCAAACTCCCAATTTTGCTAAAATTCATGACGCAATAATAGCAGGCCCTACAGTTCGAGTAATGAGTTCATTAGAAACGTTTATCGTCATACTCAGGTCAGCCCCACTGTTCGTTGTGTTAAGGGCTGTTTGGTTGGTCGGTGATTTCAGAATACCGGCTTTTGTATTATTTTAATTTTCGGTTACGAAACTAATTTTGGTTTTGATTGATTGTGATATTTACTTTGTTTAAATAAAATAGTTGACTCCTTTTTTTATTTAATATTTTTTTGATTAGTTCTCTTTTTTATATAAAAAATTAAAAACAAAAAAATAGATTTTTTTTAGGACAAAACAAATAGGATCTTAAGAAGTGTTTAGGTCAATGGATTGTTTTGTTTTTGACTTCTATTCGTGAAAAATTCTTAATGATACAAGATATAAAAATAACTTGTCAAGTACATAAAGGGTTTGCAAGACTTAAAAAGCAAAGCGAAGGGTATTGAAGGTATGAGCAATGACCCTTAATTTGAGGGACAAGTAATGCATTCAATTAGGTCACAGGGTACATGCTGACAATTCCAAACATGGGGTCTTACCGTATGTCCCACAAAATCATCATAGACAATCCGTCATCCCAATTTTCATTAATCATGTCAATATTTTAAAATATTTTCAAATTAATTTTTTTTTTATTTTACCTAGATTTTAAACTTTACTTAATCCATACATTATACAACAATAATGTAACACATTAATCTTATATTTATATGTCACAAAGTTTAATTAAATGGAGTGAATGAAAGAAAGTGTATTATAAGTGAAAGTGTTGCACATTCTAACATATTAATTTTTTGAAGAGAGAATAATAATTCATAATAAGTGATATCAAAGTGGTAAGCTCTATCTTAACAAAAGCATTGAAGATTGAAATCAGGGTTGAGTTATGGATCTCACATTGAACAAGATGAAAAAGGGAGATTGAATTGCAAGCGAAAATGTTGTCTATCTCAATATATTATATTTTAGGAAAAAAATGATAACATTGTTATACATGATTATAACCATATTTTGGATGATGTGCTTTATAAATTGTTATTTAATTTAGAATTATTATTAGTGCCCTTGGTAGTGATTTTCTTTTAATTTGAAATTGTTTCCTAAAGTTATAACATACAGGTATTTTTTATGTACTTTTTATTTAAAATTCTAAATTATTGAAGATTTAGG